GGAGCGAAGGGGGGGGGCGGCTCTGAGGGAAGATGAAGGCGGCGGCCATGTTTGGAGCTTCTGGGCGCTTTTGGTGCGGGGTGTGCTGAGGGAGTCTGCGCAGGGAGAGCCGTCGTTGGGGGATCGGCGGAAGGTCGGGCTCGGAGCGGGAGGAGTAGAGCGCCTACTACGACTCTGAGCCGGGCTTGTTTAGTTGCTTGCGCCCGGCTTCAGGAGCGCTCGGCAGGGGAGGAGAGGGGGTGTCCCTGACCGAGGAGCCAGCACCATGAGCGGGGGGACGCCCTACATCGGGAGCAAGATCAGCCTTATCTCCAAGGCCGAGATCCGCTATGAAGGGATCTTGTACACCATCGACACCGAAAACTCCACTGTGGCGCTGGCCAAGGGTAAGGACCTGGCGGAGTAGAGGACTGGGCCCTGGCGGCCCAGCAACGCCTCGGGGAGGGGGCGGGAGGGGAGCGGGGCCGCGGTGCGTGCGGCGGCGTAGGGGGCCCGTCGGGGATCGAGGAAGAACCTGAAACGGCGGCAGGGGCGTCCGTGGCGTTGTGGCGATGAGGAGGCCCGGGGTGCGAGGGGGAGGCCTACAGCCTGCCAGGGCCCAGCAGCGGCTGCGGGGGTGCTTGGCGGAGCTCTGCTAAGAGCCCGCGTAGTTTCGGCCGGAGGCGCGTCCTCCCGCCATCCTCCCCGACGGAGCGTTTGCGGCGGGGCTGCGGCGACCCGCGGCGCTTCACGGCGGAGGTGGAAGTGAGCGAGAGGTTGGGAGAGCGGCGGCGCGACAGCGCTGCGGAGGCCCCTGCTCCCCCGGCTTCGGGGAGGGGTGTGGGAAGCCCGGAGCGGCCGCGGAGGGACGGTCGCGAAAGGGAGCTAGGAACGTTACCTAGCTAGGGGCTGCTCAAAGCAGTCCTGAATAGAGTAAAAGTATGAAGCCTGTGGGGGTGGAAGTGGTCCAGAGTTAGTGCGTAAAAGGGAGTAGGAGGGGGAGGCTGGAAGGAGGATTTCTTTGCCTCGTAAGAATTCCAGACCTACAGGATACAGGGCCGCGTGCGACTGAACGCTTCTGCATCCTGTGAATGCTAGGTTATCATTCTGTGAATGCCAGGTTATCAGCAGAGAAGGCTGATTGTGAGCTCTTCGTTTCGCAGGTAGCTGTATGGCACTGTATAAATCGAAATTGAGTACAGACACTGGCGTGAGAATGTATTGGCCAGAGAATATGTGTGTGTGTGTGTATGTATAAGAAAGTTAGGAAGATATGTTTACTGAGAAGAGCGTTCAGGGACTGGGGAGTAAAAAAGAGGATCTTTGAAAATGGGCGTCCAAAGGACTTCACTGTTTCTTGCGCATGATATATATTAGCCATGGCAGTGAATGTGTAATATCCAGGCAAAATATTAAGTCAGAATTTTCAATAACTTCTTTATAAAAGATTTTGCAAAGCTCAAGGGTATTTCACTTTACTCTTCTTGACTCTGTAAAGTCTTGCTAAATAATCTAAATGCATATATAAAAGCAGAGAGTTTATCCAGCCATTAGGTAAGGGGAAAAACTGCTCCTTGTGTAAATTAAGTATTTGCGACTGAGAGTATCCTGAACCTCAGTTCCTGTTTGGTATGATAGACTTAGCATTCTAGCATAATGACAATCTGTTACGTTTTACATAGTTGGCATGTATAATAGTTGGTCTGTGGAGCAGATACCGTGTAGCAGTTCGTCTGCTTTCATCTTGCATTGGCCTTTGTGGTAGTTCTTGTTTGTGTGCCTTGTCACTTTAAAATCCTCTTCTTCCCCTCCTCCCTCGCCCCCCCCCGCCCCCGCCGTCATTATTTAAGAAATAGATTGCTTTGTTTTGTGAGTTCTTATATGTATGCTTGGAAACACCTTATAGTACTTTTGGTCCCAGGCTTGCATAGTTCATTTATGGGGCATTTAGCTTTCATGATGTGATTTTTACTTATTTCTAAAGTTGCTTTAGGTTAAATTACCTTTGCTGGTATTGCCTTATCTCTTTAAAAAGGACAGCTAGTATTTATATGAGGAAAAAGATGAACACTGTGATTCAGAATAAATGTTTAGAAATTCCAGTTGCATGCTGTGATTGTTAAGGTGTGTACAAAAGCACTTACAAGAATCCCATCCTTGAGGAGCTTGTGATAGTCTTGCCCTATATTAGACAGATTTAGTGCTGATCAAGACAATTTTGCATAACTTCTCAAGAGTGGTTAAGTCATGTTATGGCATATCTGCCAAAGTGTACATATTTAAGATAGATCAAACTACAGTTACAAATCTAATATATTCTCTTCCCATAGATCTCATCAGAAATGTAAATCTAAACCATTAAACTTGCTTTAATAAAACTTGGCTGAGTTAGCTGAAGAATGTGTGTTTTGTAATATAGTGTTGTGATTCAGAAGAGAATAAACCAGTATTTCTAGGCCACCTGGAACCAAAAATCTTGAGATTAATCTGGAAGCTGATAACAACCATATTAGACTGTAAAACAGTTCACTGTGCTCATAAACAAAACGCTCAACTCTAGAGCATTCAAGTTTCTGAATAAATGAAGGCTTAGGTCATGTGAATGTGGTATGATAGCATACATGTAAGGTGACAAGCGTGGTTAATTATGGCCAGGTCTGTATGTGAAAGAAGCAGATCTTCCTTCTGAAGTGTTTGTAGCTGTAAATATGTTGATTGGGTAATAGTTATCTATTCTTCCTGTGGTGAGTCCAGAAGTCAAACCAGAACTGTTTACTGTGGATCTTTACCACAAATGTAAAATTTTCTGCCAGAAAGAGATGAAAAAAAGCCCCAAAAGATGACTTGATGCTTTCAGTAGCTCTGCTGTGTGCTGGCTTTGTGTGACTGTTACTGGGTTGAGTGCAGGGCAGCTTATCGTTACTTATTTCCTAACTGGAAACACTGAAATTGTTTGTGATATCAAGTGTGAAAGTAGAGGTCGAATCTGTTCTTGAATAACTACAAATTTGCCTAACAGTAGGACTTCTGTGGGCTAAAATGAAGTCTGAGATTAATCTTGCGAAGTTGTACATATGGAATGCCTTCATTTATCTTAAATCTTCTGGGGTTTTAGACAGAAATAAGATTTTTGGGTTGCTAACAGGGTAGTGATTGTGTTCTACAGTTACTGAGGGGCAATCTCCTGTAGTTCTCTAATCAGCCTTTTATTTACAAAGCTGTGATGCTTTCTAGCAAAAGTTGTGGCCTCTGTCTCACGAGTTAAAGGAAGATAGCAACTGTTTAAATATTGAGCATAACATTTTCATCCTACGCTGGAGTCTGATAAGGGAAAGCGATGCATCCTTTCACAAAGTGTTGAAGTGTATTGTTATTTAAATAACAGGGAAAACTCCCATCTATATCAGATTCCAAATATTAAGCAGGCTATACAAGTATTTGAGTTTTTTATGTATTATTGGTGCATATGCTTTCTTTGGCTTGCCAGCTTTTCAGAGCTAGTGTTTGGAACCAAAAGCCACCCACTCTTATTCTCAAGTTTCAACTTGGAATGTCCTTCTAGTTTATGCTTCTAATTCATACTTAATTTTTTAAACATCATTAAGTCCAACCAATTTAAGAATAGAGTGTTTGCAAGCCCTGGTTAGGAGTAAAATTTTCTTGCTGTAAAGTGATTGCTGCCTTACCTGGGGCAGTTATAGAATAATCATGACGGATTGTGCTTGATCTTACATGTTGTGGCATTAAAAACTAGATGTGATCTTTCATGCTAGTAGTATATAATGTCTTTCTATTTCAAGGCACCGATTTAGAGAGAGATATTTTTAATGTAGGCAAGCTGTGTAAGAACAACCGTATTGGGTCAGAAAAGGCTTTGTTCCCTAGGCATGTGAGTATAAGAAACAGAAAGTGATATACTGTCAGTCTGGTATAATGCGTCAGTTTTCACTTATCGGCTGTTGGACCATTGATGGTTGCATCTGGAACCATTAGAATTAATAGATCTTAATGGCATAGCTTTCAGTAATTTAAGAAGTAGTTAAACTTTGGCATTTCTAGCATTTTCAACATTTGTGATACTGTTTTCTGTAGTCTAATGACACATGAAAGAGAAAATTTACCTTTCTTTTAGACTTTTCCACAATATTAATTGGATAAAAGGCTCAGAAACGTAGGCAGAAGAAAGTTAAATTCTTGTGAAGAAGACTTGAGCATTTCTTATAGTTCAGGGGTGGGAGCAGGAAAAGGAAGGGTTAAATTTTTATCTAGTTTTTATGAAGTTATTTTTTAGTCAGTTGACATGCTCCCTCCATGTCTTGAGGTTTAGGGCATGTGTGCCAGGCTAACCCTGTGCATAGTGTGTCACATCAGAAAAATTCCTATTGTCAAAGCATACTCCTGGCTGCTTCCCTCCTGTGTATCTCCCTGTTAACTCACCACCCCTACGAGTAAGGGAATGCAGGCTGAATTAATTGTTCTGAAGGTATGAGCCCACCACAAGCTGCCTCCTTCACATTAATATTTTTCCTGTAATGTGGTGTGCAGGCATCTAAGCATGTTTACAGGGAAAGGGTTGTGATGTTTTGAAGAGATGGCAATTGAAATGACTTGTTCTGGTAGTGGTGGTCTCATTTTAGTCGTCATGCTTCTCATGGGTGCCTTAAGAGTGGGGAAGGACGGGTTTGTGTGTATGTATGCTACACATGAATTAAGGCTGATAAGATTGTGTCAGTGCTGCATACAGAGACTGAACAATGTATTTTCAATCATTGACATTGTATGGGAACAGAGTCCTCTTTTGCTAGTAGAATATATATATAGCTTGGCTTCTGATTAACACAGTATTTTTCTGCGTTAATCAACAGGTAGTCATTTCTGTTAACTGATAGGGAAAGTTGCAATGTTTTCCTTGGATGCTATAGCAGTATAATATAGTAAGATCCATTAAAATATAGTATAGTAGTAACATTGAAGTCAGTCAAAATCTGTACAAAAATTTGCACGCAGCACTTTAATATGAAAATGTTGGACCTACTTGGGCATAAAGTTACATACATGAATCCTGTTAGGCTCAACAGTGTTAGTTTTTAGCTAGCTACTTACTTTTTGTCAGTGTAAATACAGACAAATAAGTTTGCTTTTAATATGTGATGGTTGCCTTTTGTTTGTCAGTCCCTAAGCCAGTTTAGCTCATTCAAAAAACAAACAAAAAAAACCTCAAAAAACTTAAATTGACAAGGTAAGAGTAAATGGATTTATCATAGTCCTGGTAAGTGTTATAAGATTATGTTATCTTTCATGTGCTTATTTTCATTTCCTCTCACTCTTCAGTTTTTTGTTATATATGAACCACTGCACCTTGTTCTGGAGGAAGGATGTAGACTAAGGAAATACCCCAAGAGACAGAGTTTTTGATACTCTGGCAACTTAGTATTTCTGATTATGCATAACTATGGTAAAAGGTATTTCTTTCAAAAATCCTATTGTACTGGCCACCTTTAATATTAGACTTTTTACTTTAATGAGCTCAGATTATGTTAAATCCTAATCCAAGATAAGAAAGAAGAAACTGTAAAGATAGCTATCCTTTTGTTACTTTTAATATTTTGCATTCAACTCTTTATGTTATACTGCTTTCTTAGATCACTGCACGTGCAGTTCTGGTTCCTTGCTTTAGGAGGAAATTAGACTTGGGGATGGTTATTTTTGTTGCTTTGGGGTGAGAGGGCAAGGTTGAACCCCAGATCTCAGGAGTTTGCTTACCCCTCTCCAGCAGAGCTAATCCTCATTGGACGGAATTGTCTTTACATTTTGCAGAGAGTTGCACTAAACCCAGTTTGGTTTGCGGCAGGGGGGAGGTAGAGAAAAAACCCAAACTCTTAGTAGCAACTCTTGATCTGTTTTATTACAAAACCATTGTTGACCTTATCAGTGTCTTGATCTAGTTGCATAGACAGCTGAATCTCTTAAAGATTAATTCCAATTTTTGGTGTTGAAAATACTTTTGATTGTTTCATAACTTTATGATAGGGAAAAAGACAAATTCTTTTTGACATACAGTAAAATCCCTTTACCTCTTTTAAGGTGTCATTAGGTGAAAGTTAGGTTGTTCACTTTTTTTAATCGGTTTAGAATGGGGAAAGGTAATTGCCAGGTGTTAAAACTGCTCCTATTTGTGTCGTGTGATGTTGGTATTCATATGTTCATAGTAAAATACCTATCCATGCAGCATAGCTCTGCCTTGAGAGGTACTTTCAAAGCAGATTTCTTCCATAGTTCGTCAGATTTTTATTTCTATGTAAAGGTGAGATGTGATCCTCTAGTTTACTACCCTTTTTTGTGGTGTTGCTACTGCTCAGTTCCTTCACTTCAGCTAGAAAGTAAAATACTTCAGTAACTTACTGATCACACTCTGGCCATTTTTGTGCACCTTTGTAGACAAAATGGCTACTAGAGCAACCATTTCAGCGTGGGATAGAGAGAATTGATGCAAGATCAACTTCATTTTTACTTACCAAGACAGCAGATCAAATGATGGAACGAAGGACCAAGTTAATTTATTAGTTGTCTAATAAATAGAGGATGGCCAGAAAGTGAAGGTGGCTCCTCGGTCAAGACAGTGAAATAGAAAAAGCCTGATGAATAAAAAGCAACAGAATGAACTACAGTAATGCACGTGACCAGTTGATAATGTTGTTAAGCTATTATGTATTACTTTGAGTTAATTTCTGCAAATTCTTCAGCTTCCAATATCTCTTTCTGTAGAGGAAGAAGAAAAGACAGATTTACCTTACAAGAAAGACTGAAATTCACTTAACAGTATATGCCTTTTTACAGAGCTTACATTTGCTAGTACCATTCAGAGCGGATTTTCAGATGCAGAGAAATAGGAAAGTTGATTAAATTCAGCTCAGTCGAGGGTAGTGAAAGTAAAGTGATGCTATCCGTAAACAGTGGTAGTGATTATATGTAGTGCAAAGGGAAAGAGCATGATAACCTTCATCACTATGCAATCTGAAAACTGTTGGAATTCAGCTAAGTAAATATAAATAAATTTAATGTCTTGGTATGTTGTATGCTATGCAGGCCTACTTAGGAAGATAGTTATGCCCCGGTGAGTTTACTTAATTTGACAGAGATCGTATGAACCTTACACCAGCAAGAAGAATGCATTTTGCTTAGTGAAAATTGTATATCCATACCACAGAATTCCTAATTTTTGTTTAAATCTTGATTCAGACCTTGAATCTATTGAGAAATACTCTGCTTTTGGTAATTTTTAGTATTCTAGTTTCTAGTAGTATTAGCTTTTTTTTCCCCTGAATTGCAAGTGCAGAATATGAAGTGTGTAAACTCATGTAGTCCTTGATTCACAGGACTGACTTAACCAGCCTTTGTTGGTGTTCCTGTTGCTATAATGTCCAGAAAGTGTTAACTTAGCAAAAAACGTGCTTTGCCGCTTCCCCTTATCCTCACAGAACGACCAAAATACTCAACATGTGAGTGATAGCATAAGTGATGTCTCAGTAAAGAATAGAAGAGGTGTCTTTCTGCTTGATGTTTAACTGAAGTTTGTGAGATCAAATTACTTGCTTATGTCTGAGCAGTTGATAATAGCAAAGAATATGCTGCCTATTTAATAAGGTTTTTTGCTCAAATTTTTTTTTCTTTTTATTTAAAGCTGTTACTCTGTGCAGTATATTTGAAATCTTTTTGTTGAATGTGGGATGTTTTTATTTTTTTTCTCCCTTCCCAATTTTGCAGTTCGCTCCTTTGGTACAGAAGATAGACCAACTGATAGACCTATACCACCTCGTGATGAAGTTTTTGAGTATATTATATTCCGTGGCAGTGACATTAAAGACCTAACTGTCTGTGAGCCACCAAAGCCTCAGTGTTCTTTGCCACAGGACCCTGCTATTGTTCAGGTAAGTCAAAACATATTTTTGGGTGTTTGTTGCTGAACGTATAACCTGTATAAGCACCCGTATAAGTGCTCTCTGGATGAGCGTTTAAAAGTTAAAATGTTTGTTGCTGTAAAGTTCACAACCCAATGTAAAGAACTCTGGAAAGATTTTCCTCCTTTGAATCATGTCTCTAACTGAAATATCAAGGTTGAAATCTAACTCTAGCACAATGCACTGGATACCAAAGATGCCAGTTTTTCAAAAATGACTAATGACTTTTGGTAGACCTTGAAGCCTTTTTTGAAAGGTACTTGGCTTAGGAGGACACGTATGCAAGACTTCTTGGAAAGGTCAGACTTGGTATAAGTCAAATGGAGTAGATTCTGAAACCTCTCCAAGTCATTAGTGATTTTGTTTGGTTGGTTTGTCTTCTTTGGATTTTAAGGTTCAACTTCTTTTGCTGACTATGATTTTAAGTGTTTCATCTAGCTATGTGTTTTTAAAAAGGCTTCATACTAAAGAGCAGTTACTTGAAATGGGAATACTTGGTTGCTGAAAGGAAAGCAACTTAAAACTTGAAGCCTTCAGGGTTAATTAATCTGTTAGTTCATAGTAAATGGACTGACAGAGATAGTTACTTTTGATCTCTGAAATTTGTTGGCTTGCTGATTGTGCTTGTGGGGTGTCTTAAAATTGTCCTTGAGAGGAAGATGGAAGTTCTTGGTTCAAATGGAACTTCATAATTCCATGTAAGTGTTTATGTTTCTAATGTTTAATTGTTCCGTAAGATACAATTCTTGATACTTCCTTACAAAATACCCTTGCAGTCCTCTAAGGTCTTTTGCTAAATTTCGTGCAACTCCTTCTGTCAGTAGTAGTTGAGAGCTGTGAAATTGCATTACTGCTAACCCCAGTAATAGTAATAACCCCACCCTCCTCCAGTACGTTTGGGTCTTTCATTGTTTGTGTGGGTTTTGAAACTTGAGGGAAAAAGATATGACATTTTCCAAGTTAGCCAACAAAAGCTTATGCACGTTTGACAAGAGAGTCCAGTATCTGAGGTTCCAGGGAAAAGGTTGCAAAATTTTATGGTACTGTTTTCACAAGTTTGTGATATTGGAAGGGTAAAAGTGCTTTCTAAACTGTATACAAACTTGTGAAAATGTTTTCTGCTAACTGTTGTCTGTTTCGAGTTTTCATGCAGAGTAATGTGTGTAATTAATTATTTTTGTGCTGTCTTTGCTTCTGTGTTAAAGTGGTTAAATTCTTGGTACTAAAAGAAGCAACTTTATGAATGTTAAGGTCTTCTATATGTGTTAGCTACAGTGGTGGTGTTAGGGTAAATTTAACAAACAGTTTTAGAGTTTCTGCATTTCTTGCCTTGCAGAACTATTTCCTGCTTTTTGTATAAACATGAATTTCTGCAAGCATGTTTTGTCTTTAGTCTTCACTAGGATCTTCGACATCATCTTCATTCCAGTCTGTGGGGTCCTATGGTCCTTTCGGCAGAATGCCTGCCTACAGTCAGTTTAGTCCAAGCCCACTGGTGGGGCAGCAGTTTGGCGCTGTTGGAGTTGGTATGTTCGTTTTTATTATTTGGTGTTTTCCTATAAGTGAAGTTGCATGTGTGTGTGTGGACAGCACTCAGTGCTTTTAATTCCATCAAGGTTTTATCCTAAGGGGAGATCTGAAGTCTTTAATCTGTATCAGTCCCACAGTTTAGCTCGGAAGTAGAGAGTTTTTCATAGCCTTTGCAACTCAAATCAAAGCAACTATCATTGAGAACTAAAGACCCTATGTCAGAGGGACGAGTGGGGAAAGGTTCCTGTATTCATGAATTCATTCTTTTTCATATATATTCATTACATTCATCATGTATTCATTATATTTCACAAGTGGTGGGGGCAGCTCCTCCACAAAAGCCCCATAGCTGTGCTGTGGACATCTGGTATCCCAAGTTGGCCAGGTGGTGTGTGCCTTAACCAAGGGTTTGGATTATTCAGCAGTCTATGTGCCAGCACAGTCCTCCAGCTATTCATGAGATGTTAGCTTGGCGTGAAGTACATGCTTGAAGTATTTGTGAGCTGCATGGGTTAGTTGCTCCTTTATACTGCAGATGCTCTCTAAGACTTACCAACCCACTTTCATTCCTCCCTTGAATTTTTTTATTTCATCTTTTAGTTTTTCACATAGGAACTTACATTCCTGTAACTGTTATGGTGACAGTGTTACTCCTGGTACTGAAAATGTTAGCCATGTGAAAGGAAGGCTGCAGAATTGGCCATAACTTGATATCAGTTAATAAGACGTGACAGTCATATTTTTTGTTTAAAAGATGTTAAGTGGAAATATATACCAATAACATTTGTTTATTACTCTGTAAGATGCTGTCATGACTATGCCATGTTAGTACTTGTGATACTAAAGTTAGCAGTGCTCTTTATTTTTTTAAAATGAAAAACATCAAGATATTACAGTCTTACCAACTTACTACAAATACATACATTATATTAAACTCAAAGTGTATGGGAAGGGCAGACTTACGTGTGTTCTAACTGCCTCATATGTCTTTAGTAGTTGTTTAGTGCTAACTTAAAAAAAAAAAATAGAAAAAAGTCTAAACCAGGTTTTACAGCTATATTATTTCTTTCAAAGGAGGAGGTTCTTTAACATCTTTTGGAACAGACTCTTCAGCCAGTGCTAGTATGTCCCAAAGCACTGCAGTTGGTTCTGCGTTTACAACAGATGCAAGATCACTAAAAACACAGATGTCTCAAGGTAAATCTTTTTGAACAACTCTCTTATCTTTTTTGACCAATTGCGCCCCTGTGATTTTAGGTGGTTGCCAGAAATGCTAACCAAACAGCTGAATTCTGTCATGCAAACACTTGGTGTTAAAACCAGAAAGCACTGAGAGGCTTTGTACTTGCTCTTTAAATGTGTTTTCCTACATCTTGGCGTGCTGCATAGGTAACTGTTAACAACACGTTTGTTGTTATCCTTAAAGCATCTATATTGAGGAGTAGGACTTATTTCAGTTGAATAATGTTACAGATAAGTGCCTATGGAAATGCAATATTTAGTTTTATTGATAGCATGACAAAACTCAAGATACTTCATGCTGATTGAATTGTGAAGTCCTTCAGCTTACAATTTTTAAGTCTTTATTTCTAACAGTATTTTTTTGTTAATGTATATTTACATAAATAATATTAACAGCAGACCTGATTGCCTGTAGAGATAGTGACATGACAGTTAAGTCAGCTTAATAGTGATAGAAACTGTGTGGGTCGTTTGTGTAATATTGGAAAAAGAAAGTAGAAGCAAAAAGGAAATTCTTGATGCTTTTTGAGTGGCAAAGAAAAAAGAAACCAAATATTGAGCACCTTCACCCTCACTTTTTTATGCAAATGTGTTAAGGTTGCTCCTCAAAATCCAAAAGACATTATTTCCTGCTCTTCTACTCTTCATTGCTGCGAGTAAAAGTGTATGCTAAGATATATTCCTAATGCTATTTTTAAGTTTATGCAGTCGTGTTAAAAGGCAAAACACTTATAGCAAACAGGTTTTTTCCTAAATTCTAGTTGAGATTTGTATACCAATTAGGACTGCTTTCTAGGATGAGTTGAGTGGGCTACCGAAAATGGGTTCTACTTTGTTGCATTAATTGAAGGGGAGGAAAAAAGTATGCTGAACATTTACTGTTTCTCTGTTGAAAGAGTAGCTTGGTTTTCTGTAGGTGAAATTAAAACCTCTATGATTCTTGGACTTAATGTCTGACATATGCTCCAGATGAACATACATTCTGCCACAAAATTTCCTGTGGGGCACCAACAAGTTTTTTCTGTGTGTGTTTGCTTTTAAAAATATGTGTCATCTTTGTACATTGTAAGTGTGGTGTGGTTGGTTTGGGGTTTTTTGTGGGGGTTTTGGGGGTTTTTTTTCTTCTTTTGTTTAGCTTTTTTATGGGATATGATGTTATTCTTTTATTTACTGGGACTTGAGTCGTTATTCTGATTTCTTAGTAGGTTTACTTCTCTGGTGTCATAAACTTGTCTGACCAGATCAAATGTTTCCATTCTAAACGTGCTTTTGGCTCCAGTCACTCCTGCTGCAAATTGAAATGTATGAACAGCACTTTGTGCGGAAGCTTTCGTAGCTCCTTCATCTGCATTATGCCTGGCACTAGCCATCACTGCTCATTCATTTTGTGGTGATCACACAACAGAATGCGCTAGATGAAATTAGATTTCAGTATCATAACTATCTCTGCCTTTGGGAGCAGTCACTTTCCACTTGACTTTCCAGGGAGGCAGAAAGAGTG